TGCTTAAGGTCGCATATTGAATCACTGTATATCAGCTTGTCTATAAATACTCCCTGAACTTCAAATTGTCCATAAAGATTCCAAAAGCTTCCTGAGCTTTAGCTCGTCTATAAAGACTCCCTGCGCATTCGCTTGTCTATGAAGACTCGCTGAGCTTCAGCTGGTCTATAAATTCTCCTTGAGCTTCAGCTCGTCTATAAAGACTCTCTGGGCTTCAGTTCGGCTATGAAGACTCCCTAAGCTTCAGCTCGTATATAAAGTCTCCCTGAGGTTTCTATGAAGACTCTCAGAGCTTCAGCTCGTCTATAAAGTCTACCTGAGCTTTAGCTCGTCTATAAAGACTCTCTGAGCTTTAGCACGTCTATAAAAGCTCCCTGAGCTTCAGCACGTCTATAAAAGCTCCATGAGCTTTAGCTCGTCTATAAAGACTCCCTCATTGTCAATAAAGACACGTCTATACAGACTCCCTAATCTCCGGCACGTCTATAAAAGCTCACTGAGCTTCAGCACGTCTATAAAAGCTCCCAGAGCTTTAGCTCGTCTAAATATACTTCCTGAGGTTCAGCTTGTCTGTAAAGAATCCCTGCTTCAGCTCGTCTATAAAGACTCCCTGCTTCAGCTCGTCTATAAGGACTCCCTGCTTCAGCTCGTCTATAAAGACTCCCTGCTTCAGCTCGTCTATAAAGACTCCCTGCTTCAGCTCGTTATAAAGACTCCCTGCTTCAGCTCGTCTATAAAAACTCTCTGAGCTTCAGCTCGTCTATAAAGAACCCCAGAGCTTCAGCCCGTCTAAAATTCTCCTTGAGCTCCAGCTAGTCTATAAAGACTCCCAGAGCGTCAGCTCTCAAAATATTCGATATTTTGGCGATGTTTTTCAACTACATTTGTATTCCCTTTGGGTAGAAAATCTCCCTAAGAAAAATTATTTATATTGACCCACGTAACGGAGGCACAAACGTAATAAAGTTTTCTACCAAGTAGCACCAATATCGGCTCATATAATATCGTCTATTTTTCGTTTTATTTGATTTTTTTTAATTCGCATTGGTTTGCCAACATTTTTACCAAAAATTAAATATATCAAGCCCCATATGTTTGTCTATGCCCTTTTTAGGTGTTTCAATGGGTCTTAGCCCCATTTTTCAAACGAAGTGAAGTCCAGTTCGACTCAACCGAATTTAACGACGTTTTTATTAAACCATTTTTTAAGGGTCATTATAAGCGAGGATAGATTTTAGGTAATTTTAAAGTTTACCTCATGGTCGTGGTGGAAAAAAAATCGGTCCGATAGTTCTCATTCCACACATGATGGAAAACAGATACGCTTGAAATGAAAAGTAGCTGTAACTTTGTTTGTTACGGCAATTGGATTTCCATTTTCCAGAATTTATAATTGAAGCTCCTGGCAACACAGCAAGCCAAGGTGGAATTAATTTCTATATCGTTTTTTCCTAATGAAGCAGTACTTGTATCGGATTCCACGGAATATTGCATATACAACCATTTTTATATAAGTGTGTAGTCATGGCATGATGAGGAGTGGAGTGTAGGTGGCATCCATCAAATGACGTCATTGAACATCGTGCAGCATGCATTATTGCGTGTAATTACATCAAAGTAGTATACATCCATCATTGAAGGGGGGTATACATGTATAGGGTGTGGGAGGGTGTCCGACTTGAAGTGCCTAATCTCTTTTAACGTTGAATTGTATTATTTCCTGTTATTCGACGAATTACTTCTAAATGCTATTAATAAAGGTCATTTGTGTCAATTATACTTAGAAGAAGGAGAATTGAAAGGAGAATGAACAAAATTGAAATGGAAACAAGGAAATAGACTAAAAAAAGAGGAGACCCTGTGAGTTATTTGAACACACCTACAGAGATACAAATGTAAGAGTAGTATTTGAAAGGAGTTTTTTTTGACGAAGAAGAAGGCTTATTAGGAATTTGCTAAGGGGTTGTATTGCCATGGCTATTGGCCAGGTTCCAAAATGAAGAAGACACTTCGAACTTAATTCTCAAAGCAGAGTTGGGCATAGAGCGGAACCTTAGGACATTTTTAAATACAATTTGCATTCTGTGAGAGAAGACTTGTGCTGTTTTATAACCAATATTTTATAAATATGTGTGTATGAACAAAATATGTAAATATGTATATTAGACCAAAAAAAATTGTTGACCCATGACTTGCCTTTTCTTTTGTTATTATTATTCTCCTTTTTTTGTTCTCATGACAATTTGTGTTTTCAGTTTTGAATAAATTTCCGCTGTTTAAAATTCAAACAGCAAGTGGAAAATTGCAAACAGAATGTCATTATTTGACATTAACAATGATTTTGCGAATATTCGACCAGATACCTATTAGCAAATATTTTGTAATGACTCAGCAAAACTGCATTGTTGTTCGGCTGTTCTTTTCCGCTTTTTTATTTTTTGATTGGCATACTAATAATGCACTCAAGACAAATAGGCGAAATATCGTTGAACTTGTGGTGTCTGCAGTTATGTGAAATTGTTGTTGTTGTTCTTATTGTGTATATGTGAATATTTTTCAAGTACCTGACAAGACGTGGATTTTTTAAGAACCTGACAGGGCGTGGATTTTTTTAAGAACCTGACAAAATGCCTCAGAGAGCTGAGGTTCGATTTTTTTTCTATAGAAAAAAATGCCTCAGAGAGCTGAGGTCCGATTTTTTTTCTATAGAAAATAATGCCTCAGAGAGCGGAGGTTCGATTTTTTTTTTCTATAGAAAAAAATGCCTCAGAGAGCTTAGGTTCGATTTTTTTTTTCTATAGAAAAAATGCCTCAGAGAGCTGAGGTTCGATTTTTTTCTATAGAAAAAAAATACCTCAGGGAACTGAGGTTAATTTTTATTTTTAAATACCTCAGGGAACTGAGGTTCAATTTTTTCTATAAAAAAATACCTCAGGGAACTGAGGTTCAATTTTTTCTATAGAAAAAATACCTCAGGTGACTGAGGTTCAATTTTTTTCTACAGAAAAAATATCTCATAACTGAGCTTACAATTTTTTTCTACAGAAAAAAATATCTCATAACTGAGCTTACAATTTTTTTCACAGAATATATTGTTTCCACTGAGGTTCGATTATTTTCTATAGAAAAAAATGCCTCAGAGAGCTGAGGTTCGATTTTTTTTTTCTATAGAAAAAAATGCCTCAGAGAGCTGAGGTTCGATTTTTTTCTATACAAAAAAAATGCCTCAGAGAGCTGAGGTCCGATTTTTTTTCTATAGAAAAAAATGCCTCAGAGAGCTGAGGTTCGATTTTTTTTCTATAGAAAAAAATGCCTCAGAGAGCTGAGGTTTGATTTTTTTTCTATAGAAAAAATGCCTCAGAGAGCTGAGGTTCGATTTTTTTTCTATAGAAAAAAAATACCTCAGGGAACTGAGGTTAATTTTTTTTTTTTAAATACCTCAGGGAACTGAGGTTCAATTTTTTCTATAAAAAAATACCTCAGAGAACTGAGGTTCAATTTTTTCTATAGAAAAAATACCTCAGGTGACTGAGGTTCAATATTTTCCTACTGAAAAAATATCTGAGGGATCTGAGGTTCAATTTTTTTCTACAGAAAAAATATATCATAACTGAGTTTACAATTTTTTTTCACAGAATATATTGTTTCCACTGAGGTTCGATTATTTTCTACAGAAAAAAAAAGCCTCAGAGCGCTGAGGTCCGATTTTTTTCTATAGAAAAAAATGTCGCAGAGAGCTGAGGTTCGATTTTTTTTTTCTATAGAAAAAAATGCCTCAGTGAACAGAGGTTAGATTTTTTTCAATAAAAAACACCTCAGGAAACTGAGGTTCATTTTTTTATAGAAAAAATACCTAAGGGAACTAAGGTTAATTTTTTTTTAAATACCTCGTGGAACTGATGTTCAATTTTTTCTATAGAAAAAATACCTCAGGTGACTGAGTTTCAATTTTGTCTATAGAAAAAATACCTCAAGGTACTGAGGTTCAATATTTTCCTATTAAAAAAATATCTCAGTGATCTGAGGTTCAATTTTTTCTACAGAAAAAATATCTCATAACGGAGCTTACAATTTTTTTCACAGAATATATTGTTTCCACTGAATTGCTGACAATATATTTTCCAATCTAGTTGAAATGCCATTCCTTGTAAAGCAATAAGACTTCATCACATAAATGATGAGTGGTCACAAAGCCTCTTCTGGTTTCCCATGGAAATTTCATTTAAATGTCAATGGCAATAAGCCTCAATGGAGGTGGTGGTTACTTAAATGGTTTCTTCTACTGCAATTTGTGTATCATTCGGCATGTGTATGTTACTGAGTGGGAAACCCCCTTCCCAGCGGCTATAAATCTGGACACGTAACAATATCACGTACACACACACGTACAGACATTAAAATTCTTATGCAATTAATTTCTAGCCGACATCCATTCATTCGCTCGTCCGCTTGCCCGCTCTGCATTCAATTCCTGAAGTGTGGCACATGGCCACTTGTGTTTGTCACTTGGCACATTGACCTTCATCAGAGAGCTATGGAAGTGTTAAACAAGAGAATTTAGCAACAATGGCAATGTCACACATATATACCCTTCACCGCCTCCTCGACGCACACCCATACACACTCATTTCGACAATAATTTGTTTACCCGGTGGTGACATTGAAAATGTGTGACAGCAAAAATTGTAGGAGGACCTGTTGCATGCCACGTGAACAAGTGTTTCTATTTGCTACAATATCCTGTTAAAGGACATTTAGGTGGGGGATGATATGAAAAAAAACTAAAACAGTGATTTCAACCTTGGATAAAAGAAATATATAAAAAAATAGAACAATTTGCATATATACCATTTAAATATTTATTTAATATTAATCTGTTTTATTTCCATAATTTTTAATTTGTTTTATTTCCTCTTCTTCTTTTTTTGCAGATCTTACCCCCTTCTCCAGTAAATAGCCCTTTACCATCTCATCAACGTTGGAGCCCCCTGCCACAGACATGTTTAAAATAGCCAAACCACCAATGAGTCAAGGTGCTGCTTTGCAGCATCACCGTCAACCCAAAACCACACCACTCGTCGATGACTATGAAATTTCCAATACGGTTCTCGGTCTCGGCATAAACGGCAAAGTTGTTCAATGTACCAGCCGCAAAACAAATCAAAAATATGCATTGAAGGTATGTAAATTCCGACCGAATAAGGAAATGGGAAGTGGAGAATTTTAAGTGCCATCGAATTGCATATTCGATGAAGGCAGGACAAAAAAAAGAAAAAAAAAAACAAAATAGGAATAAGGCCTTCACTTATTCAAAACAGTATGATGGCAGAAATTTTTTATATATAGGTAGAATTAAAATTCGTCAAGCATTTGGAATAACAGACCTAGAAAAATTAATAGAACGTATATTTATTTTTTTCCTATATAAAAAATACATCAGAAAACTGAGGTTCGTATTTCTTCTATAGAAAAAATATTTCCAAAATTCATGTTCGAATTTGTTTCTATAGAAATATTGGTTGGAATTTTTTTCTATAGGAAAAATATGAGGTATAATTTTTTTTTTTATTTTTTTTTTTCTAGAGAAGAAAATACCACAGAGGGCTGAAGTTCGATACCTCAGTGAACAGAGATTCATTTTGTTTTTCTATAAAAAATAACATTGAGAACTGATGTTCGATTTTTTTTTTTTAGAAAAAGCAAACTCAGAGAACTGGGAATTAAATTTGTCCCTTTAGAAAGAACAACCTCAAAGAGCTGGGGTTTGGTTTTTTTCTGTAGAAAAAGAACAACCTCAAAGAAATAAAAAAGACTCCATTCAACTCGTCTATAGAGACTTCCTCCAGCTTGTCTATAAAGACTCCCTTTAGTCCGTACATAAAAATTACCTCCAGTTCTTCTATAAAAACTCCCTTCAGCTCGTCTATAAAAACACCATTCATTTAGCCTTTAAATATTACCTCCATCTCGCCTTTAAATACTCCTTCCAGTTCGAGTATAGAGACTTCCTCCTGCTCATCTATAGACTCCCTTCAGCTGGTTTAAAAATTAACCTTCAGTCTAAAAATACCCTTTCGTCTACAATGACTCCCTTAGCTCATCTACAAAGACTTCCTCGTCTATAAAGAGGCTCCCTGCAGATCGTCTATTGAAACTGCCTTCAGGTCGTCTATAAAATGCTCTTCAGCATGTCTAAAAATACGCACATAAGCTCGTCTATAATGACTCCTCTCAGTCCGTCTAGAAAGCCTCTATTCATCTATGGAGACCCCGTTCAGTTCATCTATATAAATTTCCTTCCACTCAATAAACACTTATTTCAGAACACCTATAAAGGCTACATTTGGATTTTCTATAAAGATTCCATAAAATCGTTTATAGATACCCTCTTCGGTTCTTGTATAGGAATCCATGCAGTATAAAAACTCTTTTCTGCTGAAAGTTCAATGCCGCTCTTCTCAAGGGTTTCCATTAGCTCGTATATAAAGATATAAAGTTTTGCATCAGGTGATCTTTAACGTCTACCCTCAACTCCTCTAGAAAGACTAATTTCAATTCTTCTATAAAACCTCATTTCACGTCATATTTATGGACCCCTTGAGCTCATATATAAATAGGATATTTATAAAGAATTACTTCACCACGCTTATAAAGGCTCGAGTCAGTTTGCCTATAAATAATTCATTCAGCAATTCCTCAGAACCTATTACAGTAGTCAATACTAATGCTTTTTTATTAGTTCCTTTATATTTTTAATCGGAATATTTTCATATTACTCGCCCACTCTGCCACCTACCAACAATTATAATAATTTGCTTTATTTGATTTCATTTGCAGGTTCTCTTAGATAGTCCCAAAGCAAGACGTGAAGTTGATCTACATTGGCGCGTCAGTGGCTGTCGTCACATTGTCAATATTGTTGATGTCTATGAGAACACCTATGCTGGCAATAAATGTCTTCTGGTAGTGATGGAATGGTAGGTAGCCAATTGCTATCAGTTTATCAGTATCATCATCATAATCACCGTCGCCATCGTGTGTCCCACTTTAACCAATAAAAAATTACAGTATAAATAAATTATGACATTTACACGTTATCACATTTTCGTTTTTTTTATAATTTTGCAGCATGGAAGGTGGTGAATTATTTCAACGTATTCAAGATAACGAAGATGGTGCATTCACAGAAAGAGGTGGGTAAACATTGATATCGTCAGGTGTTATCAGATGTAATGATTGATATGTTATCTCTTTGACATTTTACAGAGGCCGCTCAAATTATGCATGAAATCTGCGTAGCTGTCCACTATCTGCATAGTCGCGATATAGCACATCGAGATTTGAAACCGGAAAATTTATTATACACCTCACCAAAACCGAATGGTATTTTGAAGTTGACAGATTTTGGCTTTGCCAAAGAGACACTGATAAAGGATACGCTGCAGACGCCATGTTATACTCCATATTATGTGGGTAAGTAAAAAACATGTCGATAAATGCCTATTTAGGTCTCTACGGACTCCATTTAGCTGGTCTATTGCGACTCCATATTTAATCCCTTCTGTTTAAACATCTCCCAAAGATTCTTTATATAGAAAACTTCAGACTCGCCTAGAAAAACTTTCTTCAACTAGTCTACAAATGCTCCCTTCAGCTCGTTCATAAACATTTCCTTCAGTTCGTCTCTAAAGACTCTCTTTAGACAACGTTCAACTCGTCTATAAAGACTCCCTTCAGCTTATTAAAAAATACTCTCTTGAGCTCTCCTATAAAGCCTTTGTTTAGCTCGTCTGTAAAAACTACATTCAGGTCGTCGATAAAGACTACCTTCAGTTGGTCTATAAAGACTCCCTTCAGCTTGTCTATGAAGACTTGAGCTCCTTTATAAAAACTACCTTGATTTCGTCCATAAAGACTTTCTTGAGCTTATCTAGTCTCCCTTCAGCTCGTCTATGAAAGACTCCCCTCAGCTCGTCTATGAAAGACTCCCTTCAGCTCGTCTATGAAAGACTCCCTTCAGCTCGTCTATGAAATACTCCCTTCAGCTCGTCTATGAAAGACTCCCTTCAGCTCGTCTATGAAAGACTCCCTTCAGCTCGTCTATGAAAGACTCCCTTCAGCTCGTCTATGAAAGACTCCATTCAGCTCGTCTATGAAAGACTCCCTTCAGCTCGTCTATGAAAGACTCCCTTCAGCTCGTCTATGAAAGACTCCCTTCAGCTCGTCTATGAAAGACTCCCTTCAGCTCGTCTATGAAAGACTCCCTTCAGCTCGTCTATGAAAGACTCCCTTCAGCTCGTCTATGAAAGACTCCCTTCAGCTCGTCTATGAAAGACTCCCTTCAGCTCGTCTATGAAAGCATACCTTCCGCTCGTCTATGAAAGACTCCCTTCAGCTCGTCTATGAAAGACTCCCTTCAGCTCGTCTATGAAAGACTCCCTTCAGCTCGTCTATGAAAGACTCCCTTCAGCTCGTCTATGAAATACTCCCTTCAGCTCGTCTATGAAAGACTCCCTTCAGCTCGTCTATGAAAGACTCCCTTCAGCTCGTCTATGAAAGACTCCCTTCAGCTCGTCTATGAAAGACTCCCTTCAGCTCGCTCGTCTATGAGAGACTCCCTTCAGCTCGTCTATGAAAAACTCCCTTCAGCTCGTCTATGAAAGACTCCCTTCAGCTCGTCTATGAAAGACTCCCTTCAACTCGTCTATGAAAGACTCCCTTCAGCTCTATGAAGACCCCCTAAAGCCCGTCAATAAATACTCCCTTACCATGTTTATAAAAATTCATCTTACCCCGTTCCTCTATTTTAATATTAATGATTCTGTTATTGCTTTACAGCTCCCGAGGTATTGGGTCCCGAAAAATACGACAAAAGCTGTGACATTTGGTCGTTGGGCGTAATTATGTACATTCTATTATGTGGCTTCCCACCATTCTACAGCAACAACGGTCTGGCCATATCGCCAGGCATGAAGAAACGTATTCGCACCGGACAATATGACTTCCCCAATCCCGAATGGAAAAATGTTAGCCAAGCGGCCAAAGACTTAATTAAAGGCATGTTAAATGTTGATCCCAGTAAACGTTTGACCATCGAAGAGGTTATGCGTAATAAATGGATTGCCCAGTATACTGAAGTTCCTCAGACTCCTCTCTGTACGGGACGTATGTTGAAGGAGGGTGAGGAAACATGGCCGGAGGTGCAGGAAGAAATGACCAGATCACTGGCAACAATGCGAGTGGATTATGATCAGGTGAGGAGAGGAGAGTTGTGTTTGGATTTGAAATAGATGATTTAATGAATTGTTTTTTCTTTGTTCTTCCAGATGCACATCAAAGCTTTGGATAAATCCAATAATGCCTTGCTGAGTAAGAGACGAAAAAAGATTGAGGAAATTGCTGCTGCTCAAAATAAGTAAAACAGACAGACAATGAAGAGGAGGAAAAGGAAACGGAGAAGAAATTGTCAACATAATATTTTTGTTGGTTTCATTTAAACGGTTGGATACAGTTGGAGGAAAATTATAAGAAAAAACTATGCAGTTGAAAAAGTTTATATTTAATAGGAGATAAAATAAATATTGTTTAAAATAACCCCCTTTAAAAATCATACTGACAAAGAAAAAGTTATAATATTAAGCAAAAATCAAAAAAAAAATCTTAAAAACAAACTGTCCTTAAAATTTGCCATTCAACTAGCTAATAGTTGATATCATAGAAAAACAAAAATAAATTGTATTCCGCATTAAGCTAAAATTAGAATTAAGGTTCTGTCTGCGCAATTCGCCTAAAACTCCGAAACTAAATGTTAATAACCAAGGAATCGGACTAAGAATTAATTTGGAAACAACTATTAAACTCAATTCAGTATTTGAGATTAATAAATATATATAAAAAATAACTATATCTAAACAAAATTGTATATGGACTCCGATTCTTTGGAGTTGTATTTGAATCCTGTTTTAAAAACCAAAATGGTAAATATTTTTATTATTATTAATAAGAAAGTATGTTCTTAATAAAAACACAATTTTTATGTAGAAAACTTAAAAAACACACAGTTTGTGAATTTCGTTATTAAAAAATACACACTTGTCTGTACGGCCAATTAACAATCAAATAAAGATTTAAAAAAGAAGAAAATATTAATGGCAGGAGTTAAACGAGGCTGAATTTTCATAACCGTGTTAAAGGCGAGAGATTTTTAATGACGAATTGATGGGAGACGAATTAAATAGACTGATGGGAATCTTTATAGACGAACTGAAAGGAGTCTTTATAGACGTGAAGGTAGTCTTTATAGACGAGTTGAAGGTAGTCTTTATAGGCACAAGTTTTTAGACGAGAAGGGAGTTTTTATAGAGGAACTGAAGGGATTATATATAAAAAATATTTGAATTTTTAGGTCTTACGAAATGGTTTCTTTTGAGACCAACTGAGGAATTCTGTACGATCGAACTGAAGGGGTTGCTTTATAGACTAGCTAAAGGGACTCTTTATAGACGACATGAAGGAAGTCTTAATATGCGATCTTTATAGACGAGCTGAAGGGAGTCTTTATAGTCGAGCTGAAGGGAGTCTTTATAGACGAGCTGACGGGAGTCTTTATAGACGAGCTGACGAGAGTCTTTATAGACGAGCTGACGGGAGTCTTTATAGACGAGCTGACGGGAGTCTTTATAGACGAGCTGACGGGAGTCTTTATAGACGAGCTGAAGGGAGTCTTTATAGACGAGCTGACGGGAGCCTTTTTAGACGAGCTGAAGGGAGTCTTTGTAGATAAATTGAAAGAAGTCTTTATAGACGAGCTGAAGGAGTCTTTTTAGACGACCTGAAGAGAGTCTTTGTAGATAAACTGAGTGGAGTCTTTATAGACGAGCTGAAGTGAGTATTTATAGATTAATTGAAGGGAGTTTTTATAGACGAGCTGAGGGAGTCTTTATAGACGAGATAAATGGAGTCGTTTTAGACGAACCAAATGGAGGGATTATAGGCAGGCTGATGGAAGTCTGTATATACGAACTGAATGGTCTCTTTAGTCTTTATAAGGAACTGAAGAAAGTCTTTATAGACAAACTAACAGGGAGTATTAATTTATAGACTATCTGAAGTGAGACTTTATAGACGACATGAAGGCAGTTTTGGAGACGAACAGAAAATAGTCTTTATAGATCAACACATGACAATATTTATGGACGAACTGAAGGATGCCTTTTTTTAGATATAAGCTGAGGTCAAAGAGAGAAAATTTATGGAAAAGCCTCCGTGATCCTTCATATACCGGAATTTGATGGTCAGAAGAGAATCTTTTTAGACAACCGGAAGAAAGCCTGTAGAAGCCTCCGAAAAGAGAAAATGTAAATAACCAGAGACTGGGAATTTAATACCTTCCCACCAACAAATTGTAAATGTTGAAAAAAAAAGAAATCTGAAATCTCAGGCACCAAAGAAAATTTAAATAGATCCCAACTCAATTTCTCTTCGCATGGCAGTACCAACATTTCTTCTACAGTCTTCCAAACATCTTAAATTGTTGCAGATATCTTAGAAAAAATTGACTCCAAAAGCTATATTATTCCTTCGAGAAAGTGTTTTAGTATCTATTTATTAAAATCGGTACGGCTTTCTATTCATAGTAGAACAGCTTCCTCTCTATGGGAGATTAGTCTTCTACTTGTATTATGTCGGATTTCTATCTTTAATTGGATTGTCTTCTATCAAAAGGAGTTCAGTTTTCTATCTGTAGAAGGCAGGTACTCTATACAAAAAAGTCCATCCCATTCAAGGCAAGAAAATCTGTGAAGATCCAATATACTATCCGTGATGGAGGGTATTGTAAAGTTGAACCCGAAAAGCTTTGGTACTTTCCTTACTAATTTTCGACTGCGGATATATTAATATTATCTTTTTTAAATTGTAATCCATGAGCTAGTTGAATAGCTGAATTGAAATAAAATTAATAATTAAATCAATAAGAAAATAATTTTTAGAAATATATACAGCAAACAAATATATACAAATACAAATATGTTGAAACTTAATAAAAGCAAGATGATGTTTATATATAAAATTAAAAAAAAAAACTAAAATATGTTAGTGGAAATTCAGAATTGTGGCTTGAATGTTACATGTTTTTCAAAACGAAGTAATATATATATATACACTGAACTCTATTATTTTTTGGTAATTATTTTAGTTTAAGTTTTTAAGAAATCAACTTATTCTTTACTATGTAAAAGCTTAAAAACAAAATCAAGATAAACAAAAATATTTGTAATCAAACTATAATTACAAATATGGAAAAAAAATACTACGAATGAAAACAATAACAATAAAGTCAATATATTAAAGTTAACATTTGCTCTATTATTAAACAATTAAAAGAAAAAACAAAAAGTATACAAAATGTTAAATGTTGAAAAAAAAAATAAATTAAAAAAAAAACATAAATGTAGTAAATAAGGAAGGACAAAAAATGCACGCCATTTTGCTGTCAGTTTAATATTAAGTTTGGATTAAATTTTATTAGGCCCCAAATAATATATAGTATATGATTATTTCACATAACCAATTGAGTTCAGTTTTATAAAAAAAATATGTTGTAGCTCTTTTAGTGGATACAAAATTTGTAAGAGATAAAATAATATTTACACAAATAATAAATTTGTATAAAAAATATCAAATTTTTATATGAATGACAATTATTTTTTGTATTTCAAATGATTATTTCTCACCCCTTTTTTTCTCTCGAGTATTCCTATTATTTAAAAGTTGTTACAGAGGTATACATACATAAAGAAACATATTGATGTAGTTATGAAATAATAACACAAATATATATTATTATCGAATAAAATATACAATGAATATATATTTGAAATGAGAAACCTATTGTTTTATTATATATGTCGGAAAGTCAGGGAATGTTTAAAACATTTACGTTTCTACTATGTGGTCCTTGAAAAATATTCTTTAAAAAATCCACTTCTCTGTAGTCCTTGAAAAAAAAATTATTAAAAAATTCATTTCTCTGTGAACTTTAAAGAAATATTTATAAGGAAATCCTCTTCTATATGGTCCTTGAAAAAATATTTATTAAAAAATCCTCTTCTCTGTGGTCCTTGAAAAATATTTATTAAAAAATTATCTTTTCTGTGGTCCTTGAATCCACGCCTTGCCTAGTTGTTAAAAAAATATTCTTTAAAAACTCCATTCCATGCCTTTTATGGATGGTCCTTGAAAAAATATTGTTTAAAAAATCCACCCTATTTATGTATGGTCCTTGAAAAAAATATTTTTTAAAAAATCCTCGCCTTTTATGGATGGTCCTTGAAAAAAATATTTTTTAAAAAATCCTCGCCTTTTATGGATGGTCCTTGAAAAAAATATTTTTTAAAAAATCCTCGCCTTTTATGGATGGTCGTTGAAAAAATATTCTTTAAAAAATCCACGCCTTTTATGGATGGTCGTTGAAAAAATATTCTTTAAAAAATCCACGCCTTTTATGGATGGTCGTTGAAAAAATATTCTTTAAAAAATCCACGCCTTTTATGGATGGTCGTTGAAAAAATATTCTTTAAAAAATCCACGCCTTTTATGGATGGTCGTTGAAAAAATATTCTTTAAAAAATCCACGCCTTTTATGGATGGTCCTTGAAAAAATATTCTTTAAAAAATCCACGCCTTTTATGGATGGTCGTTGAAAAAATATTCTTTAAAACATCCACGCCTTTTATGGATGGTCCTTGAAAAAATATTCTTTAAAAAATCCACGCCTTTTATGGATGGTCCTTGAAAAAATATTCTTTAAAAAATCCACGCCTTTTATGGATGGTCCTTGAAAAAAATATTCTTTAAAAAATCCACGCCTTTTATGGATGGTCCTTGAAAAATATTCTTTAAAAAAACCACGCCTTTTATGGATGGTCGTTGAAAAAATATTCTTTAAAAAATCCACGCCTTTTATGGATGGTCGTTGAAAAAATATTCTTTAAAAAATCCACGCCTTTTATGGATGGTCGTTGAAAAAATAGTCTTTAAAAAATCCACGCTTTTTATGGATGGTCGTTGAAAAATATTCTTTAAAAAATCAACGCCTTTTATGGATGGTCGTTGAAAAAATATTCTTTAAAAAATCCACGCCTTTTATGTATGGTTGTTGAAAAAATATTCTTTAAAAAATCCACGCCTTTTATGGATGGTCCTTGAAAAAATATTCTTTAAAAAATCCACGCCTTTTATGGATGGTCCTTCAAAAAATATTTTTTAAAAAATCCACGCCTTTTATGGATGGTCCTTGAAATATTCTTTAAAAACCGCTTGTAGTTGTCCCGGAATTTCATTATCCTACATTATTTTTTCTTAAGGCTCCTTTAAGAAATATTTTTTAATAGTTAAATGAAACATAATTAAAAAACGCATGGAAAAATATTATTTTATAATACTTTTTTATATTTATTCATTTCTAATTTTATAAAGTTATATAACTCAAGTATAAAATAACATAAAGTCTTGCGTTTTATAATTCATGTTAATTCGTAAAATAAATTGAGGAAAATAATCGAATGTATAAAATAATATACAATAGTAAATAATACATTTAAAATAATGTAAAATAATTTTGAAGCATTTTTAATATAATAAATTCATTGCAAAATAAATATATATTTTTTAAATATTTCCTCTTGAAAAAAATATTTTAGATTTGAAAAAAAACATAAAAAATTAAATTAATTTTTAAATTAGTTCAGCCTTTTTTGTTGTGTTTGTTTTTGTTGCGACGATTCTTGCGACAAACATAAATATTTTCACCAATGGTAAATGTTTGTGAGGCCAAGAAGTTGCCTTCCGTTGGCATTATTTTGGTGGCAATGAATTTTTGTTTTTGTGCCTTTACCGGTGGTGGTAGTGGTGCTGTCATTTCCAATAATTCCGCAACATTATTAAATGATGTGCGATCACAAATTGTATTATTCGCTTTGTTATTCGATTGTTCATCATTTAATTTTTCTTTGGTAGTTGCTGGCTGGTCATTGGATTTCTCATCTGTGCCATTATTTTCATTTACACTTAATGGTTCCATTGACATTACAGCTGGTCTTAAATTCCAACTCATTTCAATGTCGACCTCAGGAAATAAAGGATCTCCTGTTAATAATTCCAAATTTATTTGCATATCATTCAGATCCAATGGTGTTTTGTGTGATAGCATTTCAATTCCTCCATAGTATATGCTATTGGCTTTAACGCCCACCGATTTGTCTAAGAAGAGTATAGTTTGCATCCAATTCGTGCCAGCCGACCAGGGATCCTAAGAACAATTTTAAATTAATATTAAACTAAAACCATGGAGCTATGTAACCTTACCGTACTAAAGCCAAGTGGTGTATGCGATTTTGTAAAATAAACATGAAAATACAATGCAAAACCATCCAATTGTCCTGCCCGCTGCATGGGCAGCATAAATTTACTACGAAATTTCAAATCATCCTTTGTGGCGGTATACAAATCGATTGTCTTTATGGGACATTGTTTACTTAGCATCTGTTCCAATTTAATCAACTTATAGCGTGGCTCTTTCAGAGCCACATCGCGCAAACATTTCATATTGAATCCATAGACACCATTCCACCATTCAATATTTTCATTTTTATGTTTTTGATCTTCCACAGCAACCATGAACAATTTTGCCTGGTCTGGAAATATTAAACCGTTCGGCTTCTTTAACCATTTATCGCGGGCATAAATCACAGCATCACAGGTCGATTGAAACAGCAGCGCATAACCCATCCAATCACATAAAATGATATCGACTTCCTTGACGGGCAAATCGATATCTTCAATGCGGCCCTTCAGCACCTCTATGACATCGCCATAACCATTTGCCGCCACAATTTGTCGGGTGTAATAAATGACATTCGAATGATCGATGGCGAAGACCTTGGCAGCTCCTGCCTTTGCGGCAAACAATGAAAATATACCCACACCACAATTCAAATGTAGGACAATTTTGTTCCGGAACAAATGTTGATTATATAAAATAGCCTCTCTGAACTTTTGCACTCGAACCGTATCCTTCAACTGTTGATGTATCACTTCAATGTGAGCCCCAACATCAAATTGGAAATCTTTGGAGGTCATCATGTCGACCGGTGTTGTTTGAGTTGGTGTAATTGTTGTGGATGCTGTATCGTGTCCCGAATCGTCATCATCCTCCTGCTTTGTCGCTTTACATTTTTCCAGGTTTCTGTTTGTTTTCTTAGATTGGGGTTTCTTCTGTTTCGAAATGTCCAGTGAACTCATTAGGATTATTTCTTGACTAAAATGGCTTTGAAAACTTAAGTTAGAGAAAATAAATTTTGTTTGGGGCTAACGCGGACCTGTTTGATTCTGCTAGGACCTTTGCAGCTGTTTCAAATATATGATTCTGCGAAATGAACGAACGGAACTAGTTTTGGTATATTCGAATATCAAGTTCTTTATAATCCACCCACTTTACTGAAACAAACTGTTAAGGCTTTTAAGATGTACTACCGATTAAATTTAGTGGACCTTTAGCTGATCCCCCTTGTTGAATATCCAACAAAAAGGAAAAAGGACCTATTTACTACACTTTTTTTAATCTCTATTAAAGGTGTACTTGCCGTTGGATCCTGGGAGGGAACAACGTAAAAGAGTATAAAATACAGTAGGTTCTGAAACCCGTCAGAAATTAATCAACTTATAGCGTGGCTCTTTCAGAGCCACATCGCGCAAACATTTCATATTGAATCCATAGACACCATTCCACCATTCAATATTTTCATTTTTATGTTTTTGATCTTCCACAGCAACCATGAACAATTTTGCCTGGTCTGGAAATATTAAACCGTTCGGCTTCTTTAACCATTTATCGCGGGCATAAATCGCAGCATCACAGGTCGATTGAAACAGCAGCGCATAACCCATCCAATCACATAAAATGATATCGACTTCCTTGACGGGCAAATCGATATCTTCAATGCGGCCCTTCAGCACCTCTATGACATCGCCATAACCATTTGCCGCCACAATTTGTCGGGTGTAATAAATGACATTCGAATGATCGATGGCGAAGACCTTGGCAGCTCCTGCCTTTGCGGCAAACAATGAAAATATACCCACACCACAATTCAAATGTAGGACAATTTTGTTCCGGAACAAATGTTGATTATATAAAATAGCCTCTCGGAACTTTTGCACTCGAACCGTATCCTTCAACTGTTGATGTATCACTTCAATGTGAGCCCCAACATCAAATTGGAAATCTTTGGAGGTCATCATGTCGACCGGTGTTGTTTGAGTTGGTGTAATTGTTGTGGATGCTGTATCGTGTCCCGAATCGTCATCATCCTCCTGCTTTGTCGCTTTACATTTTTCCAGGTTTCTATTTGTTTTCTTAGATTGGGGTTTCTTCTGTTTCGAAATGTCCCGTGAACTCATTACGATTATTTCTTGACTAAAATGGCTTTGAAAACTTAAGTTAGAGAAAATAAAATTTGTTTGGGGCTAACGCGGACCTGTTTGATTCTGCTAGGACCTTTGCAACTGTTTCAAATATATGATTCTGCGAAATGAACGAACGAAACTAGTTTTGGTATATTCGAATATCAAGTTCTTTATAATCCACCCACTTTACTGAAACAAACTGTTAAGGCTTTTAAGATGTACTACCGATTAAATTTAGTGGACCTTTAGCTGATCCCCCTTGTTGAATATCCAACAAAAAGGAAAAAGGACCTATTTACTACACTTTTTTTAATCTCTATTAAAGGTGTACTTGCCGTTGGATCCTGGGAGGGAACAACGTAAAAGAGTATAAAATACAGTAGGTTCTGAAACCCGTCAGAAATTAGGAGGAGTGAGGCGAAAGTCGACCCGTCGCAAAGAACGAAAGGCTACTCATTTAGCCTGAAGACGTTGTCGTTGGAGAACATACGCTGTTTTATTGAATGGTATTCTCAACAAAGACGAGATGGTCTTCTGATAAAAAAGAAGAAGATCCTTAAATAAAAACCAGAAGGTCTTCGCAAAGATGACCAAAAGGTCTTTATTACTTATAAAGACCGAAAAGTCTTCTTAGTCGAAGATTAGAAGGTATTCTCGTAGCATACTATGGTTCGGAGGCGACGAAATGAGTAAATGCTCAAAAAACTTCAGAAGTTCAGCACCAAAAGTCCTGGAGGTATTCTCATAGAGGACCCGAAGTTCTTCTCATAGAAGACCAAAAGGTCATTTCATGGATGACCAGATCATCTTCTCCTAGAAGAACCGAAGCTCTTCTCTTTGAAGACGAAAAAATCTCATCATTGGAGACCAGAAGATCTTCTCATAGAAGATCAGAAGGTATTCTTATAAAAGATAATATCAAAAGGTCTTTACATTGCCCGCCTTCGGGAAGCAGAGCTGAATGCTAACGGACGAGAATGATGGCCCTAAATACCCATCTCAATGGTGTGGGTCACAGTCTCTGACTGACAGGTCTGTAGTTCCGGGAGGGGATGACCTACACGGGACCCTTAACCGAACCGCGATAGTTTAGAGGAGCAGAGTAGGGAAATCTTCGACCAGTTACGCAGACTAGTACCGGAAGAGCAATGTGGGGATATGCTTCCGGAGGAACTACTACTAAATCTCACCCTGACTGATGTTGAGCTGGACAAAATGGTTATCGCGGCCAAGTCTACACAGGGGGATTGTTGTAGCCTAAACGAAGGAAGCATAGACCTTGTTGACCGACTGACTTCATTCTGACTGGCATTCTATAGAAACCCCAGCAACGGACAGCGGATCAAAGGTTGGAAATGCCCGAGAAGTATCTGATGCGAAGCACTACAAACGTGCTGCTTCGTATCTTCGCAAATTCATGGTGCGAGACCTCTGAATCGAGTTAAGTAGAGGATAAGGCACAACCTCCCTCTGGAAATCCACTGAAGTACTGAAGAAGGTCTTCTTAAAAGAGAACAAAAAGGTATTCACAAAGAGGAGTAGAGTTTTGAAGACCAGAGGACCGACTTATGGAATTAAGAATACAGCTTTCAAAAATACACACACACAGCGTGGCATGCCTTGAAAAAAATATTAAAAAAAAAAACTACACCTATAGCTCTGGCATGCCTTGAAAAAAAATTTCTTTAAAAAATCCATTCCTATAGCTAGAAAAATATTCTTAAAACAACATATAAAATTTTTATTTCATTTCAAGTTTATTTTCATTCACATTGTAAGCTTAATAAAATTATACAATTAAAAATTGTTCATCAAAAAAAATGCATAAAAATTGCAGTGGTAGAAAAAATATACAACATAAGTTGTTTGTTTTTCCCTTCGCGAAAAATAAAATCTTTAGTTTCATTTGTTTGTGTAAAAGGTGAGAACGCAAAACATTCTTCTTTATCATAAATTGTTTCTATATAAAAAATATTAGTACAATATATGTACATATAGTAGATACTTATAGTACACGATTTAAATAAATGTAATGAGTATAAGTGTGTGCGTGAACATAAATAAATCAAAGTGAGAATATGAACATCATAATTGTCTATATTTTTGTTGTTGTTGTACCATCAGTTTGCCATATAGTTTAGTTTAGTGTTTAGTTTTGCAAATCATTATCATCATCAATGTAATTAGCGTTTTTATTTACCATACATAGTAATGTACTATAAGTGTTAGTTGTAAAGTTGTTTTTTCTTTTCATTTCGTTTGTAATACTATACTAAAGTTTATTTATTTGTTTACGTGTATATGTTGTATATAGGTTTCCTTTATATACTATCTGAGCTATTATCACTTTCGCTAGCCGAAAATTCAATGGGTGGTGTTGCTGTTGTTGTCATAGTATTATTAGTTGGTGATGAAGAACGACCTCGGCAATAAACGATATTTTTGCTTTGGCATTTTTTATTATTATACTCAGGTACTTGTTGTTGCTGCTGTAGTAAAAGTTCATCATCGTCGTGTTCACGTCTCTGCTGTTCTTGTGTCATCACATTAAAATAATCACAAAATTCCAATAGATTTCTTAGAATATAAGTGGGTTTATGTTCATCATTTGCATTGTGCAGTAACTTTTCAATTTCATCTAAGGTTAGGGGTAACCAAAATGTAGCACCTAGACCAGCTAAGTTTCCACCTTTAATATCACTCTCCAGCTTGTCACCGACCATGCAACATTGTTTCGGTTGTACGTTTAAATATTTACATGTGGCATAGAATATATTTGGATTTGGTTTCTCCCATGGCAAATCGCCCGACACCAATAGGCAATCAAAATATTGCTGTACATCGAGTTGACGTACCTTCTCCCATTGGGCATTGGAGGGACCATTTGTTATTAGTGCCAGCATATAGTGTTTACGTAAATTCTGCAACAGATGTACATATTCCTGGGGTATGGCAAGATAACGATAACGCAAAGTCAACCATATTGGATAGATGGTATTGGCTAATTGTTTATATTTTGGTGGTAGCGCCTCGTGCCATAAATGTGTACGCCATATATCGAGCGATGTTTGACAATTATCGGGACAACGACGAAATGATTTCAGAAAATTCTGTGTGCTATAATTGGCCTCCTCTTTGGTGAAACCATATTGACGTTGCAGTATTTCGGAAACCTGAAAAGGGCAAGAAATAAGAAAATTATTGAAATTTTGTTTTAAAGACAACAGCAGGGGGAATCTTAATGTATCTGAGAATCGAAATATCCATATCTTCAACTTGCAGTCGAGGAGGTATTACAGTAGTACGGATATGAGAACATCATATATAAGAAAAATCTGGACTTAAGAACATTTTTCATCCATATAAGAAAATAGTTTATTATATTAAATACATTCATATAAGAAAAACACGCTTATAAGAACAAAATTCTCGATTTTTTTTTTTAATGTTCTTATATCCGTGGTCTACTGTATAAGTATTATAACCAGAACATTATACTCATATTTACATAGGAGACCAAAAATCTACTCAAGGAAGGGGAAACCAGAAGGTCTCTTGGAAGACCAAAGGTATTCTCATTGAAAAGCAGAAGGTTTTCACATAGAAGAGCAGAAGGTATTCCCTTAAAAGAGCAAAAAATTTTCTCATAAATTATATGAATTCTAAACTGTCCAAAGATGGAAACTACGATCACTATACAGCCCAATTCGTCGTTATAAAGACTCGTGGTCACTATACAGACCAATTGTTCTTAATATGGACCTGTGGTTTCTATACAGCCCAATTCGTCTTTTTAAAACCTGTGGTCTCTATACAGCCTGTGGTCTCTATACAGCCCAATTGGTCTTTATAAAGACCTGTGGTCTCTATACAGCCCAATTGGTCTTTATAAAGACCTGTGGTCTCTATACAGCCCAATTGGTCTTTATAAAGACCTGTGGTCTCTATACAGCCCAATTGGTCTTTATAAAGACCTGTGGTCTCTATACAGCCCAATTGGTCTTTATAAAGACCTGTGGTCTCTATACAGCCCAATTGGTCTTTATAAAGACCTGTGGTCTCTATACAGCCCAATTGGTCTTTATAAAGACCTGTGGTCTCTATACAGCCCAATTGGTCTTTATAAAGACCTGTGGTCTCTATACAGCCCAATTGGTCTTTATAAAGACCTGTGGTCTCTATACAGCCCAATTGGTCTTTATAAAGACCTGTGGTCTCTATACAGCCCAATTGGTCTTTATAAAGACCTGTGGTCTCTATACAGCCCAATTGGTCTTTATAAAGACCTGTGGTCTCTATACAGCCCAATTGGTCTTTATAAAGACCTGTGGTCTCTATACAGCCCAATTGGTCTTTATAAAGACCTGTGGTCTCTATACAGCCCAATTGGTCTTTATAAAGACCTGTGGTCTTCATACAGTCTTTATAAAGACCTGTAATCTTCATACAGCCCAATTGGTCTTTATAAAGACCTGTGGTCTCTATACAGCCCAATTGGTCTTTATAAAGACCTGTGGTCTCTATACAGCCCAATTGGTCTTTATAAAGACCTGTGGTCTCTATACAGCCCAATTGGTCTTTATAAAGACCTGTGGTCTCTATACAGCCCAATTGGTCTTTATAAAGACCTGTGGTCTCTATACAGCCCAATTGGTCTTTATAAAGACCTGTGGTCTCTATACAGCCCAATTGGTCTTTATAAAGACCTGTGGTCTCTATACAGCCCAATTGGTCTTTATAAAGACCTGTGGTCTCTATACAGCCCAATTGGTCTTTATAAAGACCTGTGGTCTCTATACAGCCCAATTGGTCTTTATAAAGACCTGTGGTCTCTATACAGCCCAATTGGTCTTTATAAAGACCTGTGGTCTCTATACAGCCCAATTGGTCTTTATAAAGACCTGTGGTCTCTATACAGCCCAATTGGTCTTTATAAAGACCTGTGGTCTCTATACAGCCCAATTGGTCTTTATAAAGACCTGTGGTCTCTATACAGCCCAATTGGTCTTTATAAAGACCTGTGGTCTCTATACAGCCCAATTGGTCTTTATAAAGACCTGTGGTCTCTATACAGCCCAATTGGTCTTTATAAAGACCTGTGGTCTCTATACAGCCCAATTGGTCTTTATAAAGACCTGTGGTCTCTATACAGCCCAATTGGTCTTTATAAAGACCTGTGGTCTCTATACAGCCCAATTGGTCTTTATAAAGACCTGTGGTCTCTATACAGCCCAATTGGTCTTTATAAAGACCTGTGGTCTCTATACAGCCCAATTGGTCTTTATAAAGACCTGTGGTCTCTATACAGCCCAATTGGTCTTTATAAAGACCTGTGGTCTCTATACAGCCCAATTGGTCTTTATAAAGACCTGTGGTCTCTATACAGCCCAATTGGTCTTTATAAAGACCTGTGGTCTCTATACAGCCCAATTGGTCTTTATAAAGACCTGTGGTCTCTATACAGCCCAATTGGTCTTTATAAAGACCTGTGGTCTCTATACAGCCCAATTGGTCTTTATAAAGACCTGTGGTCTCTATACAGCCCAATTGGTCTTTATAAAGACCTGTGGTCTCTATACAGCCCAATTGGTCTTTATAAAGACCTGTGGTCTCTATACAGCCCAATTGGTCTTTATAAAGACCTGTGGTCTCTATACAGCCCAATTGGTCTTTATAAAGACCTGTGGTCTCTATACAGCCCAATTGGTCTTTATAAAGACCTGTGGTTTCTATACAGCCCAATTGGTCTTTATAAAGACCTGTGGTCTCTATACAGCCCAATTGGTCTTTATAAAGACCTGTGGTCTCTATACAGCCCAATTGGTCTTTATAAAGACCTGTGGTCTCTATACAGCCCAATTGGTCTTTATAAAGACCTGTGGTCTCTATACAGCCCAATTGGTCTTTATAAAGACCTGTGGTCTCTATACAGCCCAATTGGTCTTTATAAAGACCTGTGGTCTCTATACAGCCCAATTGGTCTTTATAAAGACCTGTGGTCTCTATACAGCCCAATTGGTCTTTATAAAGACCTGTGGTCTCTATACAGCCCAATTGGTCTTTATAAAGACCTGTGGTCTCTATACAGCCCAATTGGTCTTTATAAAGACCTGTGGTCTCTATACAGCCCAATTGGTCTTTATAAAGACCTGTGGTCTCTATACAGCCCAATTGGTCTTTATAAAGACCTGTGGTCTCTATACAGCCCAATTGGTCTTTATAAAGACCTGTGGTCTCTATACAGCCCAATTGGTCTTTATAAAGACCTGTGGTCTCTATACAGCCCAATTGGTCTTTATAAAGACCTGTGGTCTCTATACAGCCCAATTGGTCTTTATAAAGACCTGTGGTCTCTATACAGCCCAATTGGTCTTTATAAAGACCTGTGGTCTCTATACAGCCCAATTGGTCTTTATAAAGACCTGTGGCCCAGTTGGACAATTGGTCCCAATTGGTCTTTATGTGAACCTCTGGTCTCTATACATGCTAATTGGTCTTTATAAAGACATGTGGTCACTATACCGCCCATTTGGTCTTTAGAAAGACCTTTGATCTCTGAAGACACCTGTCATCCTTAACATCTTAATTGATCTATACAATGTCTTGAGATGTCTATAAAGCGCAGTTGGTCTCTGAAAAACTTTTCATTAACCCTTTAAGACTTCAAGTTAAAATCGCTAGTTTTGAGGTAATTTGTGAATGCCCTTGTAAGTATGTTATTCGTGGATTAATGCAGGTAAAACATATAATTTGACTAATTCCGTTTAAGCCATACTAAATAGTTGTCAACTACAGTACAAAGAATAGAAGCGTCACCCCATAGCGATCATCGTTTTCAAGTTCATTGTTATCAACATGGGCAGGCGGCACTATCGCACCATTGGCATTTTTAATATTTTTTTTTCAAGTTAAATGCATCATCAGCATTTTATGGACAGTAAAGAACAACAACCGAAGAAGCCACAAAGTGAAATAACAATACAAATAAAAATAAAAATTCTTTTGCAGAAAAAAACTGGGGTTTTCTCACTACAATTATGACATTTGTTTGTTTTTTTTTTCATTCGCACATGTTGTAAATCCCCCCCTGCACGGAAATACAAATACACGAAGGTACCCCAGCACTCAAAACCCACATATAAACAATACATTTGCATGTGTAGCCCCCAGCCCATCAGTCCCCAGAACAAATTCATTCACTTTTGTCACTTCAGTGGAATTTTCCGTAATGATGACAACGGATGATGATGATTTTGTATTTAAGAATTACTTACTTCACGACAAGCTTTGCTATCTCCCGATCTCGTTGGTATTAAGGTATTGTCCAAATCAAAGAAAATTGCTTTTATTTCTGATAATTCATCGCAATGAATGCTGCTGCTATCGTTGCTGCTGGCATTTGTTAGCAGTTGATTAGTTGCGGCCATGAGTTGTTGCCAAAAACAAATTAACTTTATGTATGTATATATTTAAATAAACAAAAAATGTTTTTTTTTTTTGCAATTCAAAATTTATTTACACTTTCTATTTCTTGTTATGTTATGTAAAAACTAAATATATATTTTTTCCTATTTCACTAAAATTAATACAATGCGCGCGGTGTGCGAAGTGGAGCAGTGAAGAAATGAGAATGAAAATAGAAATTATGAAAAATACAATTAATAACCAGTCAGCTGGCAGGTGTTGGAGAGAGAGAGCGAGTGAGGAACAAGCACATGGAGATAGTGAGAGAGAAAGTTTGTATAAAACAGCGTTGCCAGAAGAGGGATTTTTCACAAACAGGGATAAAATAACTTTCAGTTTATAAATTAATCGATTTTTATATCGATTTCGATATACCGGAAGTATATAAAAGACTATTTGCAGTTCGTCCTCGGACGGCTCACAAGAAAGACGTAAAAAAATTTTAAATGAGTACTACACGCCCACGGGCTTAAAAATAGATTTTTACAAAATGGCGGTTGTTAAGCGTTCGCTTAACTAACACGTGTGTTTTTAAATACGGATAACCTATAAATTACGAGTCGTTCAACAAAATCCAAACAGCTGCGCATGAAATTTTTAATTTTCGTAAATTTAATAGCAAAAGAAGATGCTTTTCGCTACTATGTGACTCCTTCACAGTAGAAGAGTTCACTGATACACAAGGCTTAGAAGTCTGAACATTGTGGTCAAATTCTTAAAGAAGATCGAAGTCAACCTGCAAAACACAAACCACCATCTATGGATAAAGTCAAATTCGTAGCAAAGCTACATACGGATACATGGCACTAAACCTTCTATCCCTATAGAAAGTGGGCCAACCAAAATAATATATAAAAAAAAAAAAAAAAAAAAAAAAGACTATTTGTATTCATAAATTGGTCTTAATAAAGACCTGTCTATACAGACCAATTGGTCTATATAAAGATTTGTGATCTCTATACAGACCAATTTGTCTTTTTAAAGACCTGTGGTCTCTATACAGCCCTATTGGTCTTTATAAAGACCTGTGAACTCTATGCAGCCCAATTGGTCTTTATAAAGACCTGTGGTCTCTATAAAGACCTGTGGACTCTATACAGACCAATACAGAAACCAAGGTTTATATACTAATAACAAGCCATAATGTCGGGTTGTACATTTTTTTATATCAAAGACAATTTTTAAAGTGAACAACGTCAAACAAAAGCTTGCGAAAACTAGACATTCGTCTTAAAATGTACGTCTTACATTAAGATGCACCAATCGATAACACATTGTCACATCGATAACTGTACAATTGTTGTTTTTCCACCAGACAGCAATGTCAACAAAAAAAGAACGCACATTAAAATGTAAGTAAATAAAGTTAATAATAAACAATTACAAAAGGATACTAATAATTAATCCTATTTCAGATTCCATGATCAAGGACGAAGAACAGGATGATGGTGGGCTGTTATCTTTGGAGAAATTAGATAGAGCTTCGCCCGATTTGTGGCCAGAAAAAAGTAAGTTGAGGTAACAATTAGGAAACTGCGGTTTCATGCCCTTCTAAGTACTTAATTATTAACCGGGCTTTGTTCAGTATACATTTAAAACATTTTGACAGTTTTCAAAATATACCGTTGAACGTAAAATCGAAATCCATTTATTTTCCAAGTTCCAGGAATAACCGATTTCATTGCTATGAGTGATACACCAATACGTACACCAGCTCCAGAATGGTCTCGTGGTCTATCACAGGAGGATACGACGGCAATGTTGCGTGAGTATTTCGGAAAATGTATTGTTTTATATTTTCTATAATTAATTTTTCGATTTTAGAACTCAGCACATTGTCACCCAACGCCTTGATAATGGAAATAAAGAAAATCTATGACGAGGCCTATCAACTGGGCGTTAGTGAAGCTAAAGAAATGACCCGTGGCAAATATTTAGGAATATTCAATAATGCAAAAAAGAAAAATTAAGATGACACCTAACTATATATATAATGAGTATTGCAATAAGTAATTTCGTATAAATAGGTTTTTTATATAAATAAATGATGAAATTAAAACAATTGTACGGGCATGTGTATGACAAACTAGGAATGCATATTTTCTCCTAACATCAGTAGAAGAAAATGTGCAGTAAATAATTTAGAAAACCGAAATGCAAAATTAAAGTCCCCTGGAAATTCCGTCATTTTTAAAATCCTGGCAATTGGACGAAACCATTGTATGAGCCACTTACAATACCAAACATCCTCGGAAGAGTCAAATTTCAATGCTATGTATTGAGAGCTCTATCATGATTTCAGCTGCAGAGGGACTTGGTTATATAGAATTTTATTCTGATTACGACTATATTTTAAAGTGACGACCGGCAAATATTTTAAGGTCAATATTTTATAAAGAGTTTTTGTAACCTCGGAAATACAAAAAAAAGAATGATTCGGTGCAAAAACTATGGGCATTAATGTTAACGGTATAAAGAAGTATATTTGAGGTACCCAGCTAACAATTTTTTAAGGACTCTGATATCAGAATATTTTTCGTGTTTTCTGATCTTTTTTTTCCGAATTTTACAAGAATTGTCTTTCAAATTCGGGTCGATTTCCCTCAGAAAATCTAAATTTCCCTCAATATTCATCAGTAAATAATCTAGAAATTCTAATATTTTTTCCGAATTCAATCCTAATTTCTTTCCGATTTCTAAGAAATTTAGCATCAGAATCGGTAATTTGTTCAGAGATTCGGACCGAATTTAGAAGAAATATTTGCTGGGTACGTATTTCACGTGAATCCGACAGTTCTTTATAATCTAAAATGTATACAAAATTATTGTTAGATTAGTGTACATTCATAGAAGGTTTTTTGTAAAAAGGATCGGGGGTAAAAGTGAAAAGGGCTATGAAACATAAGAATACAATATCTTGTCTTTGAGCACCCTATCAACAATGTTATGAGTAATATTTTTGAGAACATTTTGAGGTTAAAAAGCTCTCTTGTGGTAGATTGATTAATGTTAATGAAAATTATAAGGGACCCGAGGTAGTGTTTTAAAAAATATTCCTCATTTGATTTGACTAAAAACATGATAACTCAAAAATAAACTTCAATAGACCTACAAAATCCCGCCATAATTCAAAAACTTAGCCTATAGCAAATATTTTCTTCTGGGTTCTTAATATAGTAACCAAAGGGGTTTCATCTCCACAAGGAATTTTTCCAACCCCAAAATCTTGTTGCATAGTGTTATTAAATTTTTCATTTCGAAAAGGTTTCGTTAAATTATCGAAATATATCGATAACTTTGTCGATTTCACTAATGAAAATCGATTTCAATTTGTTTTGTTTTGATTCTTGGTATGTGTCATATTTGTTTGTTCTCTATATTCATAAACAATTTGTTTGACTGGATATTTCTTTGAAATACCTATAAAATTTTCTGTCAAAAAATGAAAACAAATAATTGACATTTTGTGACGCTAGCCGCTAACTCTTTCGTTTGGTTTTAACGCCAGCGAAAAAGTATGCCGCTGACTCCTGACTCTATGGTTGCGTTTAGACTCTAATGCGGGTCAGGCAAATCACCTCACCCGTGCTCTCCTTGAGAGTAATTTCAGTGTAAAAAAAGAACAAAATAGCTCTCTGCCTGTTTCTGGTTTAATGCTTAATATTTTTCCAGTGTTTGTTTTTCTACGTCGACGGAATACAAAGAGGGAGGAGCAGAAGCAAGAGTTTTCAAAGCGAGAACATATCTCATATTGTTTTCTTGTTTACTACCAAGGATGAACTTAATTCAATTAATCGAAGCGGTGAAAAAAGAGCCAAATATTTATAAAAATCTACATGTTGACGATGTGGAATATCAAAAAGAATGGGAAACTATAGCCAGTAAATTTTGCGTGACAACAGATGAGGCCCAGGACTGTTGGAACCGAATGCTCTATGAATATATGGAATATTTAAAGGGCAATGATGATTTTGAATTGGCCAAATATATGGACTTTTTGCAGCCATATCTTTTTACAATGATGTAAGGTTAATCTCCAGAAAAAAATCAACAAATTCAAGTTGTATTCAATAAATATTGTCTGTTCATTTTACAGTGATGACGATTCCATTGACGAGGAAGAACTGGGCAATATTTTAAAAGACGATGCGGTGGTAATTGTTGAAGATAACTCAAATGAAATTGAAAATACAGACGTTGAAAATTTATTAGAAGCCCACAAAGTACAAGCACCAGAACCACAAGAAAAATGTGTTCATCCAACAACAATGCCTCTGTCGTCCAGTACAAAAATGGAAACAGTTCCAGCCGAACAAAAATCACAAATACCCAAAGAACCTGCCATAGTTAAGTCTATTGCTGGCGCTGAGAAGATTGCAGTAGAAAACCCCCCAACCCCTTCTCCAGTTGCGGAAAACAAAACTTCTTCCACACAAAATGATCCATCTTTTACAAATCTATCATCAATGGAGCTAATATTTTTGGGTTATGCTAAACAATTGCAAAAAATGCCTTTAGCCTTACAGTTGAAAACAAAACGTAAAATTGCCGATATTATGGATGAAGCTGAACTTCTAATGATGGAAGGATTATAGAAAATAAGATGACAAACTATGTAAAGAGATATTAAAAAAATATTAAATATATAAGGGAAAGAAAGTTAACCCAATTTTTGTATGTTAGATATTTATAAGAATATAAAAAATAACTAAATTTTTAAGAATTTTGTTTCAGTAATTTTTTGAATCAGAAAACTGCAGGGGGCTATTAAAGTTCTCGAGACTATTAAGCGTGATTTTTTTCCCAAGGACCAAACATTGCGTGGATTTTTTAAAGAATATTTTTTTTTTTAATGACCAAAAAAGGCGAGAATTTTTTAAAGTATAGTTTTTTTTTATGAAATAACAAGGCATGGATTTTTTAGAGAATAGTTTCTTAAGAAATAACAAGGCGTGAATTTTTAAAGAATAGTTTTTTTAAGAAATAACAAGGAGTGGGTTTTTTGAGAATCGTTTTTTAAGAAATAACAAAGCATGGATTTTTTAGAGAATAATTTTTTAAGAAATAACAAGGCGTGGATTTGTTAAAGAATAGTTTATTAAGAAATAACAAGGCGTGGATTTTTTAAAGAATATTTTTTCAAGGATCAAACAAAGCGTGGATGTTTTAAAGAATAATTATTTAAGGGCCAAACAAGGCGTGGACTTTTTAAAGAATATTTTTTCAAGGATCAAACAAAGCGTGGATGTTTTAAAGAATAATTATTTAAGGGCCAAACAAGGCGTGGACTTTTTAAAGAATAGTTCTTCAAGGACCAAACAAGGCGTAGACTTTTTAAAGAATAGTTCTTCAGGACCAAAGAAGGCGTAGACTTTTTAAAGAATAGTTCTTCAAGGACCAAACAAGGCGTAGACTTTTTAAAGAATATTTTTTCAAGGACTAAACAAAGCGTGGATTTGTTAAAGAATAGTTTATTAAGAAATAACAAGGCGTGGATTTTTTAAAGAATATTTTTTTTCAATGACCAAAAAAAGGCGTGAATTTTTTAAAGTATAGTTTTTTAAGAAATAACGAGGCATGGATTTTTTAGAGAATAGTTTCTTAAGAAATAACAAGGCAAGGATTTTTTAGAGAATAGTTTTTTAAGAAATAACAAGGCGTGGACTTTTAAAGAATAGTCTATTAATCTATGACCAAAAAAGGCGTGAATTTTTTAAAGTATAGTTTTTTTAAGAAATAACAAGGCGTAGACTTTTAAAGAATAGTTCTTCAAGGACCAAACAAGGCGTAAACTTTTTAAAGAATAGTTCTTCAAGGACCAGACAGGCGTAGACTTTTTAAAGAATAGTTCTTCAAGAACGAAATCACCAATATTTATTCTCCAAAAAAATAAATAAATTCAATGATCTGAAAAATCTCAAAATTTAAACAACATCTTCCATTGTATGTATTTACTTGTACATTTATTATATTTTATTATTGTATGTATATTTATTTACTTATTTATTATATTTCTTTGGCAATATTTCATATTTCTTTGTTGTTTGTATTTTTATTTTTAATAATAGATTTAAAGCTAACAATTTCGTTAACAATACCTTTTTTTGTTTTATAAACCAAATCATTCCCTTTAAATATGTCCAAAAATCAAAATTATTGGACCCATTGTTGTGTTGCAGCCATAGTTGTTAGTTAGTAGTTAACATGCAAAGTGTGTGTTTATATATACATAATAAGACAGTGCTACAAATTTCGATATTATAATGTAATTTTAAATTCTTTAACGTCGGGTGAGCATATTGTTTTATTCCGATCATCCAATAACATTAGTATGATTTTGAAATTTGTTAATCATTTTAAAAGAATAAATCTTTATTTTAAAAAGAAAAATAAGCATTTTACAATTTCTTGCTTTAATTTTGATATGTATTCGAATAATAAAGGGATACAGTTAAATCTGAAAAAAATATCTCAATTTCCTTCGAAATAAGTAATATTTGTTTAATTTGTAATATCTTTTTTTGTATTTTTCATAATTCCATATATACTATTTATTATCTCCCAATATGTTATTTAAAACTAAATTTTGTTTAATTTATAACTCCAATATTTCTTATTTTCGCTTAATTTATTTATCTAATTTGTTGTGACTAATTTTTCTCTAATAAATTTTGGTTGTAGCACCGTGTTTAATTTGTAGATTGTTTTTGTTTTGTTATAATATCAATAATTATATATTTCATATTTTCTTATTATTTTCTAATTTAAATAATTATCTATTAAATTATGTATCCAAATTAAAAACCAAAAATAGTCTATGTTTTTTTTAATCTTACAAATATGGCAACATGTTGGTAGCTTAAAATAAAAAAGTATACACATTTTTACCTAATTTTCAATTTTTATATATTTTTTAAAATAAGTAGTGCCCATTTTAATAGCTTAAAATGTTATAATATCATAGAAATGTTACGAGACAATTTTAGTTTATTTTCTGTTGGAAATAAATTTGAAACAGTAAACGAAGAATTTTCAAAAAAATCCAATAAAGAAACCGATTTTTTGATGGATTACAGGCAAAGCCAATTTAATAGGTCTACTGGACTTTAATCAAAATCGGCGATTGTGATTAAAATATATTCTCATTGATATTTCTGTTCGATTTTGTATCTGAATTGAAAAGTTTCTAATAAAACATCAGAAAATATTCTAGAGTTCTGCAGAAAAATGTTTAATAAATTATTAGGCATTCTAATAGAACGACAGTTAGAATTCAAAGAAAAATATTTTTTTTCGAAACCAAAAGTCAAAATCAAATTACAGCCAAATAGCTCGGAAAATGTGTCCAAAAATTCAAATAGGTGCTATATGTAAATATGGACCCTGTAACATTTACTCAGATAGAATTTGCAAAGAGCAAATACGGGAACTCCTCGTTTGCAAAAGGTAAGCGAATAACGTGTCCAACCGAAAGGACTGTTAAACGGAATATACATTAGAACTTTTTACCGGCTTAACCTACTACGTAACCTACGAAGTCCGGTTAAATGTAAACGTACTATTATTTTGGGTCCTTGTCGTTTAAAATACTTATTCGCGGAAAAATGTTAATATAGTTTCATGTTAGCCTATTTGTCTGTAACTTGGTATTTCGTTTTCTCAGACGATAAAAACAAACTGTGTGTTAGAATACTTACAGTTAAAGGGTAAGAAGACCCCCATCTAGTAGTGGGGTTAAAAAATGTTCAAATGTTCATTAATAACTTAATTTTTTCTTATCTCATAAAGTAACAACAAATTTCTCCGTGAAACCGAGCGCTTTAAAATATTAATTTAATAAAAATGACTCAATTACAAAAACAAATGGTGTTCGAATTAAAAATCCTCTAATAATATAAATAATATATGTGGATTACCTTAAATAAAATATCAGAAAATATAAAACCTAAAAGACTTCCTCAAATAATAAACCATACAAAATTTAATATAAGAAAATGTTCAAATATAAAAATAAATTTAAAATCAGAATTCTAAACGAAGATGAGCTATTTTCAAATAAAAAGAATTCCAATTCCCAATACCAAATCTCTGTACACTTGTGTCATCAACATAAATATTAAAAAAGCCAATGCCCTCAAGAATTGAAAATACGGTATGGCAAAAAAACATACGAACGAATTGTCAATTAAACTAATGACCTTACAGTTGCATGGGCCAATCACACACACACTCATACACATTTGCATACTTAGATTTTTGTTATGTTGCAATTTTTTTACACTTCCGTTTTCCTATTAGTTTTCATTCACAATTTTCATCTTTTTTAATTTTCCACAATTCGTCTCTCTCTCTTAATCCATTATAAACATACTCTTAATATCTACAACTATATCACCATCATCTCTTAAACTTGACCCACATATGGGACAGCAACATATATAATATTCAATAATTCTCCTTGCCCTTCATCCGCCTTTCTGGGTAACCGCCCTATCCTACTCACGCCATTGCATATTGAAACGCTGTTCGAAAGTTGTACGATTATAAATACCAATATCGGCTAATTTATCCAAATCGGTACAATAGGACAGACGTCTGATGTCCGACATGGCATTATCGAATTTCTTCTTCCATATATCCCAATCGGAGGCATTCATCTGGGACAACAACTGTGGACTGGGTATATCCAACGAGGCTATAAGACGATCAAATGCCTCCGCAACGGGACCGACAGACAGATTAGCCCAATAGTCTTCGGGGAAACGACGATTTTGACAAAACGGTGCTGGATGTCGTAGAATACAGGCGGACATTAGTATTTCGAAACGTTCAGCTGGTTCGTAGAAACGTTTGGTGCGCGTCTTCTCCACGAAATCAATGAGACGAAAGAATGGTGTATACTTTTGTAAATGCATTAACGGTTCACGATGCGTCCAAACATATTCACCGCCAGCACTGGCAACAACGGGAACACCACCAGTTGCTGGTCGCAAACAATTTGTTTCTTCAGTCATTATGTTTCGATGTCCTCCTTGTATTCGTATTTGGTTAACAACGATTGGATTCAGTTTACAACAATTGGCAGCAGCAAAAACAAAAATATTCAAGGTTATTGTGGTTTAATGTAATTTTTGTTGTTGTTATTTTCTTGATGATTTTCCGTGAGTATGTGTGTTCCTTTGTTCCTACTACTATGCATAGGCCAAGGTTAGGTCAGGTGGTTGGTTGGTAGCTGGCTGGCTGTTTGGTTGGTCTTTTTTAGAATTTGAATTTCTTTTTCCCTTGTTGTTACACTTTTTAACAAAAAATACGGTTTATTAAATATATTTAACTTTTATAACACTTTTATTAAAATAGGGGTTCCTTTTTTCTAAAAATTATGTTTATTTTTATTTAAATTTTTATTGTTGTTGTTGTTCTACTAAAGCTTTACAATTGGCCTAAAGCTTCCTTTCACTTTCACATTCTAACTAACAATGATGTTGATTGCAAAGGAGGTTCTGCTTGTTGCCTGTCTGGCTGCTTGCCTTCGTTGGATGCAATACACAAAAGAAGGCATAGCATTATGAGACCCTTTTTCCAACCCCATCCATCCCTCCCCTCCCACACTATAGGGTGTGTGTTTTTGTCATGTGAATGCATTTTGTAATCATATGTCTGTAAGAGAATGCATGCGTAACGAACGCGAATCTCATTCTCTTTCATTTGCTTTAGTAAATTTAACGGGTTTTTTACGGTCAGTACAGTGTCAAGTACAATTTACTTCCTCAGTGTTTTTATGGGTAAATGAACACACTTGACAAATATGTAATTTTTGGTTTGGCGTTGCCATAAGTTGGCCTTTAATTATATGAAAGTCTCTGGAGGATTTTATTAGTAGGTGATAATAACTTATAAAAGATTACACATTAAATAAAGGATTACACATTAAAAGGTAATAGGCATTTTTAATAAAAGTCGAAGTAACCTTCAATTCGGAGATCATAAAGTTTTATAATAGAAGATCAAAAAATCGTAAAAATATGAGCATAAAATCTTTAAAAACATATTCGAATAGTAAATAAAACAGAAGATAAAACAGATTCCCCAATAGAAACTAATAAAATTTTTCGACTTGTAATTAAGGACCCCTTTTTAGGTAGATTCAAAAGTTTTCTTTTTATTATAATAGTAGAAGTCTTCTTAAAATAATTACCAAAATATCTTCCCATAGAAGTTCTTAAAATAATTAAAAATATTTCCCGGAATCGTTAACGCAGTGGGTTTCAATTGTCAATTCCTTTACATATATATCAAATAAATCCTAATAAAGAAGGTTAACCGGTAAAAAGTTCTAATGTATATGCCGTTTAAAATCGGAAAATGTTGTAATAAAAGTAGTCTAGAAGTTCAGAAAGTTGTCTCATAGCCAAACTATTTACTTTAAAAATATTTCTTTAATATAATGAAATATTTTTAAAGTAATAATTTTTGGTGAGAAGAAGAATTAGCCTATTGGAACCTTAAATGTCAAATTACATCCAATTCTGTTGGAAAAACGTGCCAAAAATTACCAAAATACCGAATATTTGGGTGTACCATTATATGGGGACTATACCAAAACGTAGACCGATATATGACATTTTTAACACCAAACTTCCTAGGAAAAATAAAAATCGATGTGTAAAGGTTAGGTTAGGGATGTACGGTTGCTAGTAACAACCGTTCACTTGGAGACTATTGTCCATTGTGATCATTCTTGATACCTGAAAAGAAAAGGGGGAATGAAGAGAGAGTGGAGGAGAAAATAGTAGGATATGGAGAGCCTAGAGATGGTTTTTTAGTCATGCCAGATTTTTTATTAGATTAGATTATCAATTTCATATCTTTCAATCACTCAGCGATGGACATCTACAGAGGATATGTTCAATTGTTCCTAGCTCTTCTTCGTCCTCATATAGACGACAGTAATCCTCTCCGATGGAGTCATTTCGAAGTGAGAGATCTAATATTGCAGAGACTTGTTATGATCTCCACAATGATTTTGATATCTCTCTTATGATGTGAAAACAACGAGCCCCCCGCGCCCCACCTCTGACTAAGTCGCTGTCCGCATGACATCTATATAAAACCAAAATTTTGTTGTGAGTCAGAATTCCAGTTGTTTTCAAAGATATTATGGCTGATTTAATGGATAGGAGGACATGTTCGGGACCGCATTGTTAAGCATAAATCAAGTAAATTTCAAAAATAATTTTGGAGTCTGACTTCAAATGCTTTTCGGTTTCTCTCTTATGGTATCAGGAACAATCAGATTTTTGGGAGATATCTTAGCGAAGATATATCTCGCATATAGTTTATAGTCAATATTTCCAAGAGCTGAACAATGGGTATTGATAATTCCGCCAGCAAGGGTTTTAAGCTCTTAAACACACAAAAAAACATACAAAAATTTTCCAAGTTATTCTTATTATAAAATCTATTTTATTCAATATTTATTTTACATTTATCTGTAAGCAAAACATGTAATAAACAAAAAATCTTAATGTATCCTCTGTATTAAATATTCATAATAAAAAAGGGAATGTAATTAAATCTACGAAAAGCAAGCAAGACGTTCATCGAATTTTGAACGGTGTTCATTTTTTAGAAAACGTTTCATACCGCGTAGCAAATACATTGAACTGGGTTTTGCCAATATACGAAATAATAGATCCAATAGAGCGTCTATGTTGCTATCACGTTTGTAGGAAACCAAGGCGGCGGTAAAGGCACTGAAATCTGGAGGAGCCAAAATGCCACGAAGCTAAGGAAATGAAAAAAAAAAATTAAATGGACTTTCAATGTGCAAACAATTTCTTTAAAATGCTTACCACTTTTAAAAATTCCAATCTATCCTCTGGTGCCTTCTTATTATCTTCCGTAATACTGGAGGATGTGGTGGTGGTGTTGTTATTGGAAACTTGGGGCTTTTTAGCAAATGCAAATGAATTGAGTTTGGCAGTGGCTGAGTTTGACAATTGGGTGGTTATCGATTGGGTATTATCTACAAGTTTGTATTTTTTCTTTTTACTTAATTCCATTTGAGATGATGATGTACCACTCGAGGAGGAGGAGGAAAATAATTGACTACTCGTTGGACTACGTTCACGTTTGTGGATTTTTACTAAATTATCCTTGCCACTAGATCCGGATGAGGACGAATTAAAATCTATGGCTTTTACATCGGAATCAAGACGACTCATGAAATCCATGGCACTGGGTAATTTGCCAGTATTTGACCGACCAGCGGCCCGGGCATAATCATTTGGTGACCACGATTCTATTGAATTTGTTTTCTCAACTTTACTGTATGGGGGAGAAAAAGTAATGCAATAAAAATTAAGTAAAAAAATAGATAAAAATCCATTAAAAATAAAAATAAATATTTTGAAAAATAAACTACCTACATGGCTTGATTATGAGCTGTTTGAAAACGATTTTTGGCCGCAAGTATGTCTTTGGGATCGGCAAATAATTTGCTACGCACACTCTCCCCTACCTCATCACAACTGTCGTGGACCAATGTTTCCACTGAACGCTCTTTTGGCTTGGGCATCTGAAAAAACACCCAAAAATATTATTACAATCGGATTTCTATTTCCAATTGTATTTACCCACCGTTTTATCAGCATTTTTAAAGAAATCTCTTAATTCCTTAATGACCGGTCCAAAGGCCGTATTGATTTTTTGACTACCCAAAATATCTCTTATCCACTTGGATAATTGCTGTACCTGAGATTGTTGTTGAAATCTTGCATCACACAACAGGATTGCACCATAATCATTGCGATGACGTATTACACGACCAATGGCCTGATTTACAGCTCGGGTGGCATCCAAGGAGTACCACGCCTGACCGGTAAGTAACTAGAAATTGAAAGTATAATTTTTTAATATTTATTTAATATGGAAATTACTTTTAGGGTCTACCTCATTTTCCTTTGTACGATTCTCTTCCAAATACTTTTTCTTCAATATCACTTTGGGATCTTTTAGCGGCGGAAATGGCAGACCCGTAATAATTACAGCACGACCATTACGATCGGCAAAATCTAAACCCTCAGATACCTTACCACGACAAACGGCCATAAAACAGGCACCCTTTGAATCTTTTATACTTTGATAGAATTGTTCCATGGTGCTAACAAAATCCTCTTTACCGCGCGGTTCGACAAAAATCGGTTTGTGCCTTGAAATATCTGACCACACACCAGATGCTTGCCATGAATTAACACATTGATTTAGTAGAGGATAGGAGGGAAAGAACACCAATAAACCATCGGGTACGAGGCGAGCAACATTTACAATTGTCGAGCCCAAGGAACTGATATATTTTGGATTATCTCTGGAAAACGAAAATAAAATATTAGTAGAGAAATTAGTTCTCATATTAAATTTCAAAGACAGACAGTGAAAATAATCATGATCATTTCTTTATCATGAGCTCCTAAAAAGTCTTATTCTACTCTAAAAAATATAAAATGTACCTATTTTGATAATTGGAGATTAACGGCTCACGATCTGGACCAGAACCAATTATTTTGACATACACCTGAGATGCGGATACAATATGAGGATTTTCCAAGCGTTGAGCAATGGGTATGGATAATTCCGCTATCAACGGTTTCAGGGGAGCCAATGTACCACTGGTTAGAATTACACTACGTACATTCGTGTTCAATAATTGTTCCATTCTACAACAAAAAATATTAGAATTTTTTACTATAAAAAATATGAAAATATGTCGAACTTACCCAAAACCCGGATTAAAACACCAATAATTAATTATTTTACCCGCTTTACTGGTGGTAGTTGTATTACCCTTGGAAAGCCAACCCGATTGATTGGCATTGGCCTTGGTATTGAATTTCTTTTCTTCTTCGATTTGTACATGGACTTTAAAGCTACGATAAATCTTGTCTATGGCATCCTCCTTATTGAAAAATACAATGGTCAGGAGATCACTTAATTTTTGATAACTACCACCCTTGCGTGTCATACTGTTCTGTGATGCCACCGTCATAAATTGTATTAATTTGTCCAGAAGAGCAACAATCGCCTTTGAGGAGCCATAGGTGATCTGCAAGAACAAAAAAGAAATTTCTTTATTAAACACAGTCGAAATGATTGATGACGTCACTGTATTACGCGATATATCGTTTAAAATAGCGGTATTTCATTTCGCTTATAACTTGCGACCAATATCGTCGATCCCTTGACCGTCGCTTAGGTCAAGGTCCGGTGGCAATATTTTGAAATATTTCATGATTCATTTTTTTTTTAGAAATAGATTCTCAAAACCATTTCCGACCAAACCTTAAACTTATCATATTTCTTAACTTACATTTGCCCTGCCCAAAAGATCAAAAATATACGAGGCCGGAAATGTGGCACCATCTTGGCTATTCTCCACCACAACATCGTCAATTGCCTTTTCCAATTCCAAAAGCATTTCCTTAAGCAATGCCAAATCGTCCAGGGTGAAATCTTTTGGTTCATCACCACCATCGATCATCTCACCCTCACTCATTGCCTTCATAATATGCGTGGTATCCTCAATAGCCAATGCCACATCGGATGACCTTATATTCACTGATGCCGATTCTTCACATATCTTTTCAATATTATGCGCCTCATCCAATATACAAATTGTATTGTTCAATTCAATTTTATTAGCTTTCCTCGCCGATGGGTCCAACAAATAGTTGTAGGGCATAAATACAATATCAGCATCATCCACCAATTCTTTGGAGGCATAGTAGGGACACATTTTCAATTTCTGTCCCACCTTAACTAAATCTTCAATATCCATAATTGATGGGCCACGAAAATCCGGATCATCTTTGCGTGACTCAACACGACTGTGGAATGAACATGTTCTTGTCTGGACACGCAATTTACACATTTGTATTTTATTGGCATTACCCATTTCCCGCATTACCTCGGGGTGAATACACAACTGATCACGGGAACCCAATACCACAGCTCGCATAAAGGAATACGATGTTCTCTTTAATTCCTGCATAGCCTGTGTTAGCTGAGAGTGAGTACGTGATGCATAGATAATTTTTGGCAAACCCCAGTTACTTTTGCCCTTTGAGCGCGCCATCATTTCAAAATGTTCGCCCAACATTGGATTATCCTTAAAATCCGACTGTGAAGGATTTGCCTTTACCATCTGATTTTTCATTTCTTCTTTGCGTTGATGTAGCCAGGCCAAGGAGGAACAGAGTAGACTCAAGGTTTTACCAGTTCCAGTGGGTGATTCCAGGACACCGTTGGTAGCATCTCGCAGGCATATAATTACTTTTTCCATATAGGCCCGTTGTACTTCATAGGGTTCGAATGGGAAATTCACCGGTATACCGGCAATTATTGTTTCGGGCATTTTTTACTATCTTTTTTTTAAATTATTTATTTAAAAATAACAAAATAACTAAATCCGCTGCCACTTAAAACAATGTATAGGAATGTATTGTGAAAATACAATCACGTTGTGGTAAGTCTCTAATGAAAACGTGTGTCACAATAGGTGAACATGAAAACAATAAATACCCCTATAAAATACAACAAAAATTCCAATATGTGGCCCAGTTTAGTACTACACACAGATGGTTCGCCCTGTAAATGTAAAGTTGGTGTATTTGCAGTTATAAAATTTGCGAATTTTAATATTTTACTCACGTCTACATAAAGGATTCCCCAATAATTCCATTCGCAAACTGATTGTAAACAAACAACAGCTGATTTGATTTTGCACAACATTTTTGGCGCCAAAAAAATATAAACAAAGTTAAAGGTGTTAAAGGTATTGGCAGATGGGACACAAAGAAATAAACCACTGCCACAAGAAGAGGTATTCAGTCGGCCAGAGGATTCCGGAGATATCAAAATGAGCAAATCAAATAAAATGTTTGCCGATAAGGCCTTTGAATTGGTCAAGGAAATGCAAAGGTCTTCACAAACCATTCCACCATTTGATGTAAGTTTTACATATTTACAGAGTGATAATATACAATTAGTATAACATTTATATTCAATGTTAATGCTTAACAGGACGATGGTGTACGTCAAGTGCTAGAGGAAATAAAGGCCATTTTCGAGGAAAATTGTGCCCAGGCGTAAGTATAAAATATATGCCCTCACAACCCATTCAACACTGAAAACTAATTCTTATCTCGTTCCATTAATAATTACAGTGCCAATTATTCAACATCCGGCGATCGTACACTATGGCCACTGCTAAATTTTCGTCATGCTGCCCTGCAACGTAACAAAAGATGTCTGCTAGCCTATTTGCAACAACGTTTACAGCGTATTAAAGCATTACGTTGGGAATTCGGACCCATTATACCCGGTGACATTAAATTAAATCTTTGTGAACCCGAAGTTACATTTTTCAACAAATATTCCAAATCTTTAGCATCATATATGCGTTCGATTGGTGATGGTCAAGGTATCGATTTAACTGGGGATTTACGTCCTCCCAAGTCCCTATATATTGAAGTACGTTGTGTTGAAGATTTTGGTAAATTTGAATTGGAAGATGGTGAGGTGATATATTTGAAAAAGAACAGTCAACATTATTTGCCACGTTCTCAAGTTGAGACCTTAGTAAGGCAGGGTATTTTACAGCATATTGTTTAAGTTAATATATTAACAAATTATGTATTAGGGTATTTTAATTATTCTTAATAAGTAGAATTTATTGTGGTCAATATGTTGGCTATTTTGTAGTTTTTAATTTGCGAAATATACAGTTGAAAAATAGTTGTTCTTTATTTGTTAATTGTTCCCTAGACGACCCATCGGTCTAGGAATAACTATAGATATAAACTGTTAACGATGATGTGCTTATGAGGAAGTATTCTGTTGATATTTATAAAAATTATAAGGGGTTGTATCAAAACAATGTGGAATGGAATATGAAGAATTTGTTGGGTTTTGAGACTTGGTATGTTTTACGTGATGTTGATGTCAACATGTTCATTCTTTCGAGAATTCATGTATACGGTCACACTTAAGGCTTACGAATTTCTTTAAACCAAATACAAAATGTGTATAATTTTAAAGCTTATGAAAATGCATTTACTTTGTGTGAAAATACATTTCCATAAAGGGTTTATTCTAAAACATTTGAGAGATACAGTCAAAAAACTGGGTTCTGGACCCCATTTTTTAAACTATCTAAGAGTCGAGCTTGGGTCTATTACACCTGACCTGATGAAGTTGTTATCTCAAACCGTTAGGAGTTATAGTCAAAAATCTGGGTATCGGGCCCCGATTTTGGCTGTATCTCAAAGTATTTTCATAAGCTTTAAACTGATACCCATATTGTATTAATTGGATCCGTAGAACCCGTACCCAATCCGTCCTTAAAAAAAAATCCCCCTCTGGAAAAATTTCGAAAAAATCTGATAGTTTTTACTAAACTAGAGTTAAGCCGAAAAAAATCGTTCTACTAAAAATGATTAATATATCTACACTTTTTAGGATAGTCCACCTTATTTGGCGATTAAGGGCAGGTTTTTAATATAATCGTCTCTAATTCGTTTTTCTTTAAGAGCCAAATCTTCCTACCAACAATTTGCAATGGCATAGTCCGCCATATATAATGGTCCCGAACGAGTGTGGATATATTAAATGTCCAACACATGATTACGTTTTTATACGATTAAAACGGCATTTACATAGAACTTTTTACTGGGTTAACCCATGGTATAATTAATACAAGAGTTCCGTTCCAGAAACGAAAGAATCTACTAATTTTACATGTTTTGCAACTTTTTACTCGAAAACCGTTCCTGAACCCACAAAATTGGTAAAACATTGAACAAAATTTTAGAGAACACAAAACAAAATGCGGTTCTCATTGTAAACTTTTTACTCGAAAAATTTGTCCGAGTAAAAATTCTCAATTTTCTGACTAATAATACGATAACGAATTTTTCTTTATGATATCGAAGAAAATAGTAAAATCGAGATTCTTGCAGTACGGGAACAGACCAATAGTCTAACATACTTTTAAAACATGCATATTTCAATTATATAGTCATTAAGATTTATGATATAATCATTAAGATTTAATTATAATATGGAGTAGTATAATTTGCAATTTAATTAAAATTAGCCTTTCAATTGCATTTTTTGAAATAAATAAATAAAACAGGAATGCCAACTTCTAATTAACATTTGAGGTATGTTGATTTTGAAGAATTTTCATCTAATTTTGGCATATTTACTAGATTTGCGTTTCCTCTGTACTCTGAGAGCGATTTTGAAAGGATTCCCTTTTACTACGCGTTAACGCACTCAAAAAGTTAAAATACATTTAAGTCCGAAGCGTAACGCACAGCCACTTCAAGCGTTAATGGTATCGTTTCCTTGTGGTTCTTCCAATTCCGATAACACACAACGCGACGGATGGCTCAACGCGAACATCCTTCTTAGCGGTTCGCATGTTCGTCATTTATCAGGTAACTACGAAAATATTCATATTTGTTGGACAGTCAGTATTCGTTAAAAAAAGCTCCCACTACAAAGTGACAGTGTGTACACCGCTTTAATAATTACATTTTTACAGCTGATCAGAACAGCTGTTAAAAATTTTATAAAAATAATTGTATGAAATTATTATTTTGTCCCCGTACTGCAAGAATCTATTAAATTTTTACTATATTTCATGGTACAATAATACAAGGTAGGGCAGCTTGAGGTGAATAACACAAAAAAAAAACAACTATGCACGTGTGGCTTCTTCTGCCAAAAATAATATAAATATACGCAACAAGTGTTCGTGTTTATTTGACATTTTTCAACACAAAACTAAAAACGCGAAAAATGAATGAAAGGTTATGATTTCTTCCCAAAATCCAGTAGGGAATACCATCAAATGTTTGTTTCATCCATAACAAAGTAATTACTTCCAAAAGAACATTTTAAAAACATAATTTTCATTTCAATTAAATGTGAATATATTTCAATTTATTTTGAATTTATTTGACATAGTATTCAAAACATTACACACACATATACAAAATATGTATTTGGATTTGATGGAACAAGCCACCTTGAGAAAAAATTGTAATCAGTTGGTAGCTGTGTCCTACCTTGTAATAATTATACCATGCTATATTTTTCGATATCATAGAGGAAAATTTGTTATCGTAGTAAAAAAATTACATTCTTGCAGCTTTTGGAACAGACCATATGAGTTCTTAAGGTGGATATAGTTATGACATAACCATAAAGTTATATCAATCAGCTGATCGAACCAATCCTATGGAACTCATTGTCCCGTACTGGAAGAATCTCTCAATTATTTTCTTCGATATTATAAATGAAAAACTGGTATCGTAGTAAAAAAATTAGATTATCGTTGTACGTGAACCGACAGATCAGCTGATTGATATGACCTTATGGCGATGTCATAACTAATATTCGAGTTCCTTTCATCAAAAATGGTTAAAATTATAGCAATGGGGAAATCGATCTAAGAACGCCTAATTTCTTGACGTGTGGAATTCCGCAAGTAAACAATTACATCGTTATAAGTTATAAATTACATGAAATTATGAAAGTGAACTTCGACTACAGGGCTAGGATAAAACATTTTAAAATATTTAATATTTACTTATACTCAGACTCCAGAAAAATTGGCCAACTCCATATGCCCATCCAGCCCAGACTTACAAATGTCAAAATTTTAAAAATCCTGTTTTCCCCAACCCCATTTAAAAAGCAAAATATTAAAAATGTAGATTCTTGCAGTATAGCAACAGCTGTATGTTTACTAGACATTCTGCTTAATTATATTATTATTGTTATTTTTATATTCATTTTAATAAAATATGTTTATTTTAAATAATAACCCCAACCGTTGTCACTTACTTCCCTGCCTTTTTTGGATCGATTTCATTGACAGCCAACAATTGTCAGACTATAGAACAGCTGATACCCCATGAACGACGTATACAATCAGCTTCATTGACGGTGTGTGTGCTAGGCTAGCAGACAAAACTGCCATTGCATGGCTTGTTTGACAGTTCGTTTCTTACGTTTGGATGAGAAGGTCGATTTCGATTGGTGAAGAAGAAATAAAAAGTGGAAAATACAAGAAAAAAAAGTAATCGTCGCTAACTAAACAACAACGGAGGCAGCAAAAAGAAAGAAAAAAGATTTTTTTGTTTTAAAAATAACAAAAGAGAGAAGTGAGAAAGAAGTGTGTGGTGTTCAATCAGCAACAACGAGACCGTTGACGGAGAGCGTCGCTCGCCACTGCAGCCGAAGAAACGCACACACAGAATTTTTACTCGGGAAACAAAAACAAATAAGAGAAAATTTTTGTGTGTTCTCGCCGCCGCCGCGCTGTGCTGCGCGATTAGTGATAAATTGTTGTTGTAAGCAAGCAGTATAAGATGTTTGTTGTTTTTTTAATATTGTATTTTTTTGTTGCTTTTTTGAAATATTTTTTTCTGTGAGCAAATAAGTTGTGAGTGAGCGAAGCTAGCGAGTGTAGTTTTTAAAGTAGATGACGACGTTGTGTGTGATGTTGGTTGTTGCTTGTATTGTTTTTATTGTTGTTGAATGGATGGTTGGGCAGTTGGTTGTTGTCGTCGGTACGTCGTTTTGACGGGCAAGAATGAGCACAGCAAAATGATGAGACACAACCAACCTGAGTGAGTGAGTGCTGTGTGAAGTGTGTGCGTGTTGTTGTTGTTACTTTTGAATTGCTAAAATCAAATATCCCACAACAACGACAGCAGCAACAACCAACCAACAGTACATTGAATAGTGAGTGTTGGAGCATTGCATTTTTTGTGATTGAAGAAGAAGAAAAGGAAAACAAAAGCAAAGCAATTCAACAACGACGACAAATCCCATATAGAATAAGCACAATAAAAACAACAACAACATTAGCGGGTTTACTCGAGTGAGCAACTAAACTTAATGCGCTGAGAGGTGATTGTGTTCCTGTGTGTGTGTGTGCGTGAAAAAGAATTTAAGTAAATTTGCTTTTCATAATTACTGGTACAACTCCTCCTCGCTCTCTTCACCATAATTGGGGAGCAGCGAGCACAACAACGTAACGCAACTCAAGTCAACGCAAAATTGAAAACGCAGGCAGCAGTTAGCAAAAGCAAATACGTTTTTGACGTTGATGTTCGTTCAGTCGTGTTCCTACGTTCAATTGTTCGTTGGCGCCGCGGTGAGGTGTATGTACGCGGTATGTTGTTTGTGTTTGATTAAACGCACTGTGTTGTGCCGTCCACTCCAAGGAAGATCTTGTAATCTATTGTGTTGTTGTTGTTGGATCCAGCGGTAACAGCAGTCAGCCTGATTGTGGGGTTATTTGCGGTGGTGACAGATGCTAATGATTTGTTGTTGGGCTTTAATGCACTCCGGTGAAGTGTTTTGCATTCGTATTGATCAATGCACGTTCTTTGGGATGCAATGTTAACTGTGCGTTGTTGGGTACAACAGGGTAGGCTAAAAAAGCTCATATCAATTTGGAAGTGGTGGCCGGCCACATGTTGTGTTATCCATGCAACTGCAAATGATTGCTGCTATTTTTACGATTTGCGGTTAATTTCAAAATAATGGAATAAAGACTCAAAATATTCAATTACAAAATAATACAAATTTCC